GCAATGACCCCCTGTTTCCTAGGCATTCCCCTCACTGGTCTTTTTCCCTTGTCAAACCTGCCTTAGCATCACAGGAACCCTGGAGGTTACAAGGAAATTTTAGGCTCCTGTCCTCAAAGAACTAATAATCCAGTTAGCAAGTGGACATCTGGGAAATGGAAAATAAATGAGACAGATTTAACTGGGGAGCTGCAAGAGGCAAGGAGGCTTTCTGGGCTGAAAACTAAGCCAAGCCCCAGGCTGATAACATTTAGTCAAGAATAAGATAATGAGGGAATATCCTTATTGTCTCTCTAGGTAGAGAAAGAATCTGAATTAAGATGCAGAAAACAACCAAGCTAAGTCAGTGAGCAGGTTGGTTTGGCTAGAGCTAAAGACCTTTACATAATTGCAAAGACATGACATAGAAAACAATTGCTATTTTTAACCCCTTGGCATCCAGGAAAGCTACAATATGTTCCCAATGGTGAATAAGAAAATGCTATCTGTGAAGACCAGCCCTGGTTACCCAAAGGCGTAGAAAGACTGCACATATATCAAAGTCCCTAGAATTCTAGCAGTATCACATCTGATATGAATGGAAAACAGTAAGGCTTCCCAATACTTCATACAGATTCAAGAAACTGACATTTCTTATTTAGTTAAGGTGTTTAGATTACTTTCTCCAAAAAAATTGTCCCTAACATTCTCTCCTGTTGATTCCTGTACTAGAATGCATTCTCCACAGGGAGAGCACATCCTTTCCTTGTTTTCAGTCTTCTCTGGCTCAGAGGTGGGGCTCGTAGGAAGCCCTTTACATGTCATTCCACTCTGGTAAATCCACAAGTCCCCTAAATTCTGTCACTTATACTACAGAGCACACCATATTTGTGGCATTCTTTAGAAGGGGAGAGGCAGCCAACATGCTCTTGAACAAGATGAGTGACACAAAGCCAGCTGACTTATTCTTGGGATTGCAAGATTTCTCCATCTCAAAAAGGGACTTCCATCAATGTTTGTTTTCTCTGGTCTAAAAGACATACTTTGAAACACAATAAATTAACATTTCCGAAGACGCTGAGTTCCTGCTGTCATAAAGTACCACTGGCTCATTCAATATGACAGAGTAAAACACCACTTCCCATAATAATTTTAAATCAACATTAGGTGATGTGGTGTGGTTCGGCTTAAATCACTGCAACGATGTGTCATTCAGATAATATTTCAAAATAAAAATGGAACCTCGTCACATTGAGAGAACTTGCGTTTACTTTATTTTACGGTAGTAAGGATCAAAGAAACAGATGTTAACTGGATAGATGTAGTGGACCTTTCCTGACTTATGACAGTGACTCAGCCCATTTTATTAACAAGTTAAAGCTAAATAAATGATGAATCAATGCCCGCAAAGCAGGAAAAAAATGCCAGTTTCCCACTAAAAATCGCAAAGTGGATAAACTTATTTCCGTTACGAAAACTGCTGGGGTTTTTACTGGGGAATTTCCCAGGCAAACAGAGGCAAAGATATATAAACCCAAAGCGGAAGGTAAGCACATTTCCTCTTAGTGTTTTTATGCTGGACATTAGTGCAAACACAGTGAATAATTCAGGGCTGTTTCTCCAGTCATCCTCATCTCCAAACCTGATTGGAAGAGATAAACCTCCACGCCCTTGCTCCTGCCAGTTGGGCTGGCATAGGAACGGGGCTCACATCCTGTGGGGAGAGCAGAGCAAAAAGGCAAAGCCACAAAAGTGAAAATATCCACTTCATTCACCCAGCCATGCAAAGTACACCACCTTCCTCTGCCTCTCCATTTTCCCTTCCATGATTATATTATCAGCCACTGCAATCATCTGACAACATCCTCTGGCTTACAAACCTGAATCTCTCAGCCATGCCAAGGTTGCCTGTCCTCATGCCATGTAACAAGCTAGGTGCTTTACCTGCTTTGGTTCATCTAACCCTAATTCCCCACGAGTGTAAACTAAGGCTCAAAAGAGCTAAGGAACACCCCATCACCTATGTGTTACTCCTGCCCAAAACGAACAAGTTTATTAAGGAGGAAAAAATATCAGACAAGTCCAAACTGTGGAACATTCTGCAAAATAAATCTCCTCAGTTCTTTAGAAACTGTCAATGTCATGAAAAAAGCAATAATAATAATAATGAAGAAGAAGATGACTTTTTTAAAAGCTGGGAAACTTCATTAGAGTAAAAAAGACTAAAAAGAAATCAGAACTGTGATCCTTAGATCCTGGATCATAAAAAGAAAAGAAAAAAACCTCTAGCTATATAGAACTTTATTCACACAATTGGGGAAATCTGAATATTGATTGCATATTAGACAATATACATTATCAATGTTAAATTTCCTGAGTGTGATGATTACATTGTGATTAGGTAGGCAAAATGTCCCTCTTAGATATTTCCTAAAGTAATTCGGGTTAAAGCTCATTGATATTCTCTCGGATTGGTTCAGAAACAACAGGGAAGCACGAAAACAGACAAATAAAGGATCTCTCAAGTCAGAAAGAGAAAGAGACAGAAAGAGAGAGAGAAGGTGGCAAAATGTTAACAATGGGTGAACATGGGTGCAGGGTATATGTTCACTGTGTCATTCTTGAAATTTTTTAATATGTTACCAATATTCAAAAGACGAAATCGAAAAAAAATTATAAAATAAAACAAAATGAAATGTTAGAAACAAAACCAGAAACAACCCAAGCAGCGGGAGCATCCACGGAACACATTCAAACAATTAGCAACTGTGAGAGCTGGGATTTAATCAGGTGTTTGGGTTGTTGTTGTTTTTGACTCCAATAATGGTTAAAATCTTTTTCTACATTGATTCTTTTAAAGGCTGTGTACAAAAAAGACACACAGATTACTTTTTTCTTATATTCTTGTAAAGAGTCTTTATAACTACCAATAAGATGAGACAAAGAGGAGGAGGTCCCTATGGATGGTTTCTTAACTTCACTACCTTGTAGGGTATGATGCTTGGCCAGGCAGAATGAAATGGGATGATGAAAAGCCCATGGATAATATCATTTAAAACTCAACTGGGAACTAAATAAAATCCTAAAATGAATAAGCTCATCTGAACTTATAGAAATACATCCAACAACTGGCAAGTCTGTGAACTTAATAGATGATTATCATTTGCACTGCTTTGCTGACAGATCCTGTGAGAGAAGGCTAATAATTTGTTTACACATAACCATGTACATAGAACTGTTAGGATTAAGTCTAACATATTCTGATCCATGTTTCAATTGCCTACCAGACACATCCACCTGGATGTTTTACAGCCACCTGAAAGTCCAAACCCTAAAGTCCATTTATTATCATTCCTTCTTTCCCACCCTCACCTCTACTCAAAACCCTCTTTTCCTTTGTTAACGGCACCATTTTCCATCTTGATGTCTCGGGGTGTAACTCAGGAATGAATTTTGGTCCCTCCTCTTTACCCCACACATATATTTATAATTAGTGATTCTGCCTCCTAACTAATAGCCCTTGAATAGATTCTCCATCCTTACTGCTTCGCCTTAGCTCAGGTCCTCATATTGTTCATAAGGAGTTCTAGAATAACCTCCTTCTTATTTTCCCTATCTTTCATCCCTGCTCCAAACCTCAATTACTTTACCATCTTGTCACCTGAGTTCCTTCTCTAAAATGACAATCTGATGTGTTTCTCTCCTAATAAAGGGTCTATAATGGTTCTTCACTTCCAGTAGGATCGGGGTAAAATCTTCAGTGTGGTTGTTCCCCATGAGCCAACCCATTCTCACCTGACTTCATCCGCCATGTCTACCTGATGATGCCACCTGAGTTACTGGCACCTTGTTCCCTCCATGTGTCCTTCCCCCTCTCATGTCTTACGTATGTTCCTCTGGCTACCTTGGATGCTCTTCCCCATTTATCCATCTGGAAGAGCCTTAATCTTCCTGTAATGTCTAGATCACTCTTGTCTTTCTTTTCTCCCCCTCCCCAAGGCAGAGACAGAGCTTCTGGGGCACCTTTGTTACATCATTTATCCAACCAGCATTACTATATGTTGTTTGCATGTCTGTCTTCACTGCCAAATCCTATAATGGCAGGACCAGGTTTTAAGCATCTTTTCATCTTCAGCAAAATGTACGACACATAGCAAGTATTCAACAGATGCTTATTAAATGAACAGATGTATTAATAAAGGGTAGGCATAAAATTTAAAAATATGGCTTAGTGGACTTAAAAACACATTAAAAAACTCCTAGACCAGGCCAACACCAACAAAACCACAGACTGCTGGTGAAATCAAAGATTCAAAACTTTTACTCCTGTTGCCTATTCAACCCATTATTTTGTCTACCAAATGCCTACTTTTCCAGGATTGCATAGGGGTGCCCACAAGAACTTTTTCCCGTGGATGTCTAGGTCAATTCAAGCCAGATGATGAGTGGAGAGGAGAATGAAAGAAGTAGCATGCTGTCCACACCACTGGAGGGCTGGGCAGTCCAAAGACAGGGACCGAAGTGTCAAGACTGAAAACTTTTCTCCCAGAAACTCTTATGAGGGTAGTATCAACATAAAGTACTCAGTGAACAGCCCCTTTCTGGTAGTGCGTATAAAATCCTGTGCCCTTTTATGCTATATTCTTAAGATAACACCACTGATCTATGTGCTGAAGGTACCATCTTACATCTGGAAAGCATGCCAACCTGTAGGGACATTACCTTAAAATTGAGTCCCTGAAACAAACTGAGGAATGACAGGAACATTCTGATGCATTTCCCCAGCATCAGACACTTCAGTGGGCTATTGCCAGTATCTTTATTTTTTTTCCCATGGAAAATAAAACAGATAACGAGATATTCGGTTCACGTGTTTTGTGCATGTACTTTTAAAATGTCACCTTTGGGTAATTCAACCCACCAGTGGATTATTAATAAACTTCAGCAACTGTCAAAGCTCTTCTTGGTGGAGGGAGGTTTGGCGGTGCCACCTATTAGAAGAGAGAGACGGATGGCCTTACCTCTCAGCTCCCACGTCCGCAGCTGTGGGTGCAGGTAACTGGGAGGAGGGGTTGCGGGAGCTCCCCTGTACATTATGTCCCGGAGAAGGGTGACTGACAGGATGTGGGGTTGGCATGGCCCCAGCAGCTGTTCCGCTTCGGCCTGAATGATTGCTGGAGAAAACTGAAGCTGAAATCAAGGGAGAACAAGCATCAGACTGCGCCCCTAATGAAGCACGCACTCTTTAAATACTGAAGGCTGACAGCAAGCACATTTTAGGGGCTTGTTTGTTTTTCTCTTTGGTGGTTTTAAGGGAACAGTTCTCCCCTTATTGGATATACACAGCTTTTGGGTTTATGGTGGAACAGGTTCCCCGGATAATGTGCCTTTACTGCTGTCTGAGGAGTCCATGTTCAGCTCGCTCCAGGCTGACATTCACGGTTCGTCTCATAAGAGCTGTCTTGCCCGGCAAGTTCCCTGTCTGGACACTGTATAATTAGCCAATCTTGTAATGTCTGCACCTGGACGAAGGTCTCTGTGTTAGCACTTTTCAGTCACAGGGGAGGACAGTCAGGCAACAGAATATGCGGTCTGCTGGCCCAGAAGGACACGACACAGGCCTCTTCCTCTCCTCGGTGCTGCAGTGAGGCGCTGTGGGTCATGCCCAGTCTCCGTGTCACTGCTAAATCCATGTAATGAGAACAGAGCTTCCCCTGATCCTAGTGCCAATGCAGCATCCTACATTCTTTTAACTTCAGAGTCTGACCGACCCTGGGCATTTCCCAATGGTGTGATGGATAAATGTACTTAGCCTTCAGCAAACATGACTCCTCTCCCAACACCACAAAATATGGAAAAGGGGCCCCAAAAACTGCTCCGGGATCTTCTCCTGCTGTTGTCTATTATGACACAGAGAGTGAGTTACAGCCTCGTTGTTGGGGGCAGCCTAGCCTTTGAGAACTGTACGTGACCTCAAACTTAAATATGTGCCCATTTAGACCGGCTAATTGGTACCATGTCACAGAAGAAACTGGGGCTTGTCACTTTCGGAGTCTATCACTATCAGAGAAGCTCTCTCAGTGCCTGGATCTACTCAGCAGACGTCTCATTATGCTGCAATCATACCAGCATCATTATGCTGACTCTCTTTAACTTCCTTCTCTATACAAAGCTATGCCAAGCTTTATACCCATCTTTGCTCTTTTTGAACTTACTCTACTGATATCAAAGAATAAATGGATTTTTAAAAAGTTTTAAAAACCAGGTTCAGGATTAAGAAAAAGAAGCCACATAATCAAAGAGATTTGAAGGTTTAAAAGTTCAGCGAGCTGTATTTTTAGACCAGCACCACTTTTCTCCAACCTCTCCAGGATAGAGTTAATACCCCCAAATGACCCAGCCCCTGAAAGCTTAATCCAATGGAACAAGAGTTCAAGTACTTAAAGGAACGTGTGAAGAAGCAGAATTATCATCTTCGTGCTCAAAAAGCTACTGATAGGAGTGTGATCTCATTTGAAGGTTTTGTTTTTGGTAAGTCAGCATTGTGTCAGGTTAACTCTTGTCCTTAGACGCCTGCATCCTCTACAGTCTTCCAAGTCCTGAAGAGGTGGTGAGACTAGAAAATGCTTACCAGCTCAAAAGGGCAATGCAGAGCTTCTGCTGTGTGTCAGCCTCCAGAAAAGTTGCACATTTGCAAACTCGCTAGAGTCACCTTACGGATCACTACCTCATTTATGCTCAGCTTGCTCAAGCAACCACATTCTGCTTGTATTCCAAATAATAATTTTACCCACGGGAGAAGGCTGTTTGGATTGACTGCGGCAATAGTTTCAATACGGTGTTTGTCAGCATGAAGCTTGGTGTTTTATATACTATTCCAAAAACTAATGGAATAATAAGAAGGTCACAGAGACACTGGAAACGCAGCTAACTTTTTTCTGCCTTAATGTAGAAACGTGAGCTCTCCTATTTATTTTGTTGTAGTTGCTGAATGCACCCATCACTTATTATCCGCTGGAGGTATTTTTGTATATATGTGTGTGTGTGTTTCACAGAGAAGTGCTGCCTTGCTGTTTACAACCCATGAGCAACAGAGAAACTTGGTGTACACACTCCATGCTCTGCTCTATGCTTCAACAGAAAATGTGCTGCTTCCCAAAGGCCTACATTAGCTATATGAGCCATGTTTTTGCATTAGTTGCAAAGAAATAGGCTGGGAAATTTGGTGTTGTGTGCAGCCCTGCCACACACTGAAAGTTAGGCCTGGTTAAGGTCCTCTCCTTCAGCCTGCTTAATAGCCAGGACTAACCATCCATCATCATGCATCCATCCATCTATCCTCCAACCATTTATTTTTAAATTCAATATTTATTTGGTGCCTACTACATGCTAGCCACTCTACAATATGTGCGCCCCTGTCCTTGCGGAGGCTGCAGTTGAATGAGGGGAACAGACCTCTATACATCCTTATACCAAAATACTGAGACTTACTAGTATAGAATTCCAAATGGTGTTCAAGACTTTAACACGCTGTCTTATTTGTGCCCCCCAAATCCCAAAATGTGCCCTAACTCTGGCCAAATCAGACAACTGACCACACCTCAAATATGCCATGGCAATTTATGCCACTATGCTGTTGCCTGTAATGTCCTCTACCTTTCTGTACTTATTTTAATATTTTTGCTGTGTGTGCAGAGTTACTTGCGTTCTTCTCATTCCTCTCTCAGCAGCCAATTGTTCCACAAATACTTACGGAGTACCTACCATCTGGCAGACACTGAGCCAGGTTCTGGGATAGACTGGTGAACCAGACGCCCCTGGTGCCTACTGTCTCCAACACGTCATTCATGTTTGTTGAGTAAACAAAGACGAACACAATCTAAATGCCACTGGAGTCCGTCTTGGGCCCCGTGAGTAGGACAAGGACAGAAAGGAACATTTATCCACCAACTCCTGTTCCCCACTGGTAAAGGGTGTTACTTCTCTCACACTTCCAAGTAGGTACATGCACCACAGTAGCTAAAGGTTCTCAGAGATGCCCAAGACCAGGGCATCAGAGAAGCCTGGGGACAGAAAGCCAGTGCACTGGAGGGGAGGTGCTGCCAAGTTATGCCTGGTTGCCATAGCAATGGCTGCTGGTAGGAACATGTGGTGAAGGGGATGTGAGGTGGGACATAAGAGGTGTGCGGTTTAGGGCCGAAGGCTCAGAAACATGCCCTCCAGCTGTGCTGAGGTCACGTGTTGACTGACCAACAGTCAAACACACATCTACAGCCCTTCCTTCCACTGCTACAGCCAGTGAATGACACTGGAACAGGCAGAGACCCTTTGACTGTAGACCCCACAAGAGGAAGAAAGGGAGGCTTTAGGGTTCAATTTAAAGTATATTAAAAAAGTGTATGAAACAGTTTCTTATGTAGGGTGTAAGAAATTACCTGTCAGCAAAATGAAGCCTGGGACTTGCCTCTATATTCTAACAAATGGGATGAGAAATGTACGACAAATTCTCTTCTGGTTAGATAACCTAGAAGAAGCTTCTGATTCAGTGTCTACACAGAGCACTTTGCATGCAGAGTCCAGGGCAATGTTTGTGGATGTTGCCTGGGACCAATACAATGACCAGAGATTCAGAGGAAGTAACAATAGAGCATGGCTTTCCAACATTCATCCAACTCCCATCTCACATATCCTTCATATAAAATGGACAAAACTCTGGAGTCAGGTATCAGTGGCTTCAGTAGGATTGCCTTTGACCTCTACCAAAGATCCACATTTCTTAGAAATTGCCACTATGGCACAGGAAATGCCTCTTACTTACACTGACTTCTAGGAATTTCCAGCTATCAAAGTCATACATCCAGGATTCTATCTTACTATAGTCTAAGAAAATTTATTCATTCAAACACAATTTTCCAGCCCTTACTCTGTACCAGGCAGGCGCTAGTCTCTTAATGTTTGAAGTCAAATACCTGAGACCTTCACACAGACCTGCCCACCACAACAAATACTTACAGACAGATGCTCAGGCTTTGCCAAGTGACTTTTTTTAACCTCAGGAAGAAAATCTCCATGTCAGAGTGCAAGTGTAAGGTCATCCACAAAAGGAAAAATTTCCTTCCAAAATGATTTTCCAAACTCCACTAATGGGGCATACAATGAGGCCTATCAATCAAAGCATAAGGAAGAGAACTGAACCCTCCAGCATCTAGGGCAATATTAACAAAACTGTTGTGATCAAATCAACCAGCACACACAGGCTACCTACGGGGCGACCTTCATTGTCTAGTGTCACCTCAGGGGTCAGTGTTGATTTCAAGGCTGGAAGAGGGCTTTTAGGTGAGCCTCTAGACTGCACTGATGACTGGCAGCTGGAACAACTGATTAGGCACGGCGGAGCAACATATTGGAAATTCTTATTGCTTTTGTGATTAAGAGATGGTGGACTCCCCAAGGAAATAAAAGCTTGGTCTTGAGATGAATTTGTGAGCCCTACTTCCAGCAGAGGACCAGGAGCTGGCCTCCCTGCTGCTTTAGTCTTTCTTTCTCTCTGGGGCTTAGCTCACTACAGTCCCTCATCCCATCTCCTTATAGAGGTAGGTGGAGGTGACTCAGTTGGGCTTTTTAATTTTGACAGACCTGCATTTGTTGATCTGTGTGGTCCCCAGATGCCATCTCACCAGCTACTGGGACCAGGGTATTCTAGGCTCGAGCTTTTAACTGGCTCAGGCTAGTTTGGGTTAACAGGCAGCAAGCACTCTCTCTATCCAAATGAAAACAATTAATCTATATGTCTAATGGGTATGGACAGGGCACCCTTGGGGACACTTCAGCTGTCATGTATTCACTGTGTGACTAGAGAAAGGCAAGGAGTTTTCAGGCAAGGAAACTTCCTGAAATGAAGCCTACTTGTCTCAGGCCCATCCCCAGAGACAGGGAAGGCTACCACAGGCGTTGTTTCATGACTATGTTTTCATCTTTTTAGAGGGCAGGGAAGAAGACCTTCCTTGTCAGGCTGAGGTATATTAAAAACAGTCAACTTGAGGGCATATTTCTGTTCAAAACTGTATGGGCAGCTAGAATCCTGCTTCTCCAGCTTTAATTTGCAAACAATTTTACCAGGGTAAAATATTGATTCTGATTCACTAGGTCTTGGAGGCAGCAAGTGCTGAGATTCTGAACTTCTATCAAAT